TCCCTTGATCGGAATTGAACCTGCAATTTTTTTGGTCTGTGGGCAGACACTCTAACCACTGAGCTAAACCGACCAGGGCAAATTTTCTTAAAATTTAAATTTTGCTGGAATTTCATTGGCAACAAATACTGCCAGTTGTTTTCTTTGGTGTTACAGGCTCACTTTGTCAGTTTTCAAGAAAATGTGTACTAAACAGCCAAATTAAAATATTCATAGTTTGACAGTCATTCAAGTGATATTAAGTGGAAAATGTTTATTTTAAAATAGGTTTATCTCGCAGCTCAATCAGGTATTTTTAATATGCAATAGCAATGCTGTATGCATACTTTCTATTTCATCACACAGAATATTTGGAAGACATAAACTAAAGAATTGATATATAATAAAATTATATAAAATAGAATAAAATTTACAACTGGTATGTGCTGGTAAAGAATATAATGATTACACCTTGTCCGGTGTGGCCCAGCAGTTAAGAGTGTCGGCCCATGGACCAGAGTCAAGGGTTTGATTTCAGTTACGGGCATGTACCTCAGTTGTGGTTTGGTCCCAGCCCTGCTCGGGATTGTGGGGTAGGTGACTAATCACTGGGTCTCTTTCATGTCAATGTTTTTCTCTCTCTCTCTTTGTCTTCCCCCCACCCCCACGGTATCTGAAGATTAATGAAAAGGTATCCTTGGATGACGATTTAAAAAGAAAAAAAGAATATAATAACTACTAGTAAAATTTTGATTTGGTGCCACTCCCTTGATTTGTGTTAAGATGCCAGCATATTTACCCACCACTGCTTTTGTTTTAACCTCACATGCCTCCTGAAAGTGTTTCGTAGACCCCAGGTATCTGTGAACACATTTGGACCACTGCTGACATGGATTCATATAGGTAAAGGTTGCCTCCTGCATCGGTTCACTGTACAACCTGCACAGGAATTGTTCAGAAATTAACATAAGAAAATCTGGTGCTCAGCCAACTAGTTCTTTGGTGGAGAGTATACTCACAAAATCATTATGGGAAATGTTTTCTTTGGGGCTGGTGTTTTTCTCTGAAGATTCCTATTGGGGGTTGTAGGATGAAGAGTGATTCCTCTGGCTGCTGGCATTCTGGGATCAGAAGGAAGAAGGACTGTGACCCCTTTACTCAGTATATGGATTTTTTGGACTTCCGGTCAAGATCGCAGTGTAGGTAGACGCGGTGCAGTATCGTGTCTTGCCACAACCGCATCAAAGTTACAACTAAACTACAGAACAATCATCATTCAAAAACATCTGAAATCAAGCTGAATCGAAGTCCTACAACTACAAAATTAAATAAAAAGCTGCATTGAGAAGTAGGAGGGGCGGAGGCGCGACGAGCTGGTCCCACAGCCACATGTGACGGATAAAAATCAGGAGGCTCCCTCGGCTGGGAAGGTCCTCCCTGAGGAGTGAAGGGTCCCCGTCCCACACCAGGTGCCCAGCTCAGGGTTCCAGTGCCAGGAAGAGAAGTCCCCATAACTTCTGGCTGGAAAAACCAGTGGGAACTGAGGCTGAGGCGGCTGGAACCACAGGCCGCTCCTCTTAAAGGGCCTATGCCTGGACTTATTTGGACTTACACCCTCCAGGCTCCAGTGTGGGGGAGGCAGCTTGAAAGGCACCAGAGTCATATGGGGAAGAACTGAGTTGTTTGGCATTGGAGTGAGGGCTGGAGAGGGGGCTTTCTCCTGGACAGACATGCTGTCAGAGACCTTTATTCCTTTGGTGAGCCCTTCCCTGGGGTGGCAGACAGCCGCCATATCTGGGACTCCAGCAACCTGGCTCACACTGGTAGCCCCACCCTGGTGATTCCCCGAGGCCCTGCCCCACCCAACTTTCAGGCCCACCCAAGCTATTGCCACTTGCTTAACCATAGGATTGGCTTGTCTTGGATCCTGCTTGAGATTTTCCTAAATTCTTTCAAACAAGCAGCATCTGGTCTCAGCGAGCCCCATACCGCTCATTAAGTAATACATAGAAACAAACACAGGGAGGCAGCCAAAATGAGGAGACAAAGAAACAGGCCCCAAATGAAAGAACAGAACAAAACCCCAGGAAAAGAACTAAGCAGAATGGCGATAAGCAACCTAACAAATGCTGAGTTCAAAACACTGCTTATAAGGATGCTCAATGGACTTAGTGAGAACCTCAGTGAATTTAGTGAGGGCCTCAAGAGCATACAAAAGGAACAGTCAGATTCAGTATTATAGTAGGTAAAGCCAAGAAGCATACCATCGATTTGGAATATCAGGAAGCAAAAAAACACCCATACAGAACAGCAAAAAGAAAAAAGTCCAAAAAGATAGTGTAAGGAGCTTCTGAGACAACTTGAAGTATGCCAACATTCGCATCTTGGGGGTGCCAGAAGGAGAAGAGAAAGAACAAGAAATCGAAAACCTATTTGAAACAATTCCTTAACTTGGTGAAGGAAACATACATACAAGTCCAGGAAGCACAGAGAGTCCCAAACAAGATGAACCCCAAGAGACCCACACCAAGACACAGCATCATCAAAATGCAAAAGGTTCAAGACAATCTTCAAAGCAGCAAGAGAAAAGCAGTTAGTTACCTACAAGGGAGTTCCCATTAGACTGTCAGCTGATTTCTCAAAAGAAACTTTGCAGTCTAGAAGGGAGTGGCAAGAGATATTCAGAGTGATGAAAAGCAGGAACCTACAACCAAGGTTACTCTATTCTGCAAAGCTGTCATTTAGCATCGAAGGCCATATAAAGAGTTTCCCAGACAAGGAAAAGCTAAAGGAGTTCATCACCACCAAACCATTATATATAAAATGTTGAAGGGTCTTCTTGGAAAAAAATATAAAATTTATGAACAAATAAAATGACAGTGAATATATATCTATCAACAATTGAATCTACAAACAAAATGAAGAAGCAGAACAGAAACATTCTCATAGATACAGAGAAATATTTTTGGTTGCCAGATGGGATGGGGGTTGGGGGAATGGGTGGAAAAGGTGAAGGGATTAAGAAGTACAAATTAGTTGTTAGACTGACAAACCTCTAAGGGAATGGGTGTTGGTGGGAAGAAGTAAACCAAAGAACTTATATGTATATATGCATAATGAATGGACACAGACACCATTGTGGGAAAAGGCAGGAGAGGGGCGGGAATGGGGAGGAGGGGGACAATGGGGGAAAAATGAGGAACATCTGTAATACATTCAACAATAAAGATAAGTTAAAAAAATATATATGTATGGATATTTTACTAATTTATTGTTTTCCTCTCAGTATTTCATGCCTGCCCTTTGCTGTTCCTGGTGTTCACAACTTTACATTGTCTCCAGAGTTAACCTTTAGTCCCTGTGGTAGGGTAAGACTAGGTGTCTGTTGTATGAGTTGTAGAAAATTTAGGTTTCTCAACAGTCTCTGTGCTTCATTTTTACCTTGAATGTACTGAATATTGTACTGAATTCCTCCAAATTCCGGATTTCTTGGGTTGCTTGGGCAGACTGATTCTCTTCTTACACTTCCCACTTGGATGTTTTATTGCAACTTCTTCCACACTGTGATGTCAGTTTCCACTCCTCCAGCCACTTTCCATTTAAAAGTTTGTTAACAGCTAGATCTGGATTTGAATCTTTACCACTTACTGTGGCATTGCTTTAGGTTCTCTACTTAACCTATGCAGTCTTATTTTTCATTTGTAAAAATGGGGTTTATGATATCTAATATGAGAATTACATAAGGTAGTGAATGCAAAGTTCTTCACGTACTACATGCATCATATGCCCTCAATAATTGGTAATTGTTATAAACTGTTATGCTGGCCTCTGGCAAAGAGTTTTTATTATATTCCTTACACATAGACAATTTGAAGTAAGCAAATTAATATGTCTATTATTTACTGTTACGTAGTTTGACAGTGGAAGGGTTACAGTGAAACTGACTCCAAATGTGAAATGATAATTTCAGATATGTCTTTGTTGTTGTTGTTAATCCTCACCTGAGGATATTTTTCCATTGACTTTTAGTTAGAATGGAAGGGATGGAGGGGTGGAGGGGGAGAGAGAGAGTGAGAAATTGATATGAGAAAGATACATTTATTGGTTGCCTCCCACACGACCCCAACTGGGGCTGGGGATCAAACCCGCAACGGAGGTACGTGCCCTTGACCAGGAATTGAACCTGTGACCAGTCCACAAGCCCATGCTCTTAACTGCTGAGCCAAACCAGTCAGGGCAGAAATGTCTTTGTTTAGGTACTTAATATATTTGTATAAAGTACTAGTAATGCAATTTGTTCAAATTTAAGTTGTGTTTAACTCATTTTCTATTCAAGTAAAGTTTATCTTTGAACAGCCTGGGGACTAGGGGCACTGACCCCCACACAGTTGAAAATTCATGTATAACTTTAGACTTAGTCAAAGTTTAGCTATAGTACAGTTGTTTCTAAGTATCTGCAGGGGATTGATTCCAGGACCTCACTCCCACCCCAAAGGATACCAAAGTCCATGGATATTCAAGCCCCTTATATAAAATGGCATAAAATATTGCATACAGTTGGACTTCCACATCCATGGATTCCCAACCGCAGATTGAAAATACTGTTTTGGTTGAATACACGGAAACGAAACACAGGGATACAGAGTGCCAACTGTATAAAATCTGCATAAAAGTGGACTCGCACAGTTCAAACCTGTGTTCAAGGAACTGTGATTGTAATTATGGCCCATATTTGAAACAGAATCTAAGGAAACCAGGTATTATAACTGGGTAACTGTTTCATGACCTTGTCAGAAACTTGTAGTACAAAGAATTTCTCTTAGAGGTTTCTTTAAAAAGAATTGTTAAAATCATACTTTTGATAATGAACTATTCTAGTACATATTTTTGATTAAGAAATTTTTGTAGTTCCTTAGTATATAAGGTTGCACACTTAAATTTCTTTTATCCAGAAGGTTTAGTATAATAAAACTAGTTTAACCTTATCCACAAATATAAAAGAAAATTATTCATCATTTCAGGAAATTGCAAGACCTAATATGGCTGAAGGAGAAACAGAAAGATCAAATTCTGAGAGGTAAATATAAGGAAAAACTGAATCTCAAATCCAAGTATGTATATAAAGTGATACTTGAGTTGTGTTATTTAATTAAATCTATAAAGGACTATTGAAATGTTTGTATATGATAGTGTTTTTAGTAATGGCTTTTAATTAAAATAAGATTTGAAATTTTAATACAGCAAGAATATACTACAGGTCCTTAGTTTTGAAGTCCTTTTATAAATGTAAAGTATAAAGTTGTTAAATTTTTTTGAAGTACTTACTAGTAAGTAAAATGGTAACAGATTTTGATTGCCTCTATTAAATGAAAACAGTTACAATATGCTACAGGTTACAACATGTGGACAATTACTGCAAATATATAATTTTAAAATCTTTTTTTAAATATATATTTTCAAAAAGCTGTAAAGCTACTTATGTGGCATCTCAACTTAAAAGTTTCAAAATTTAAGAATTGATTTTTAAAAATATAATGGTCAGGTAGAATACTAAAGAACACAAGACCTTTCACAATCTTTTAGAAAATAATTCCAACATTCTAATTAGAACTTTTTCCAGATAAAGGTAATTTTATTTTGCCTTTTAAATTAAGTGATTTCTCCATTTCTATTTTTATACTGTATATTTTACAGTAGATTATTTGTTAATTTCATGCAATTAATTAATCTATTGCCCTTAAAAAGCAAATTATGGAATAAGGCTTTATGAAGTTCTTAGACTTAACTTAGCATTTTAACTAGAATCCTGGAGGGAAGGGGAAAGAAGTTACTAAAATTCAACTAAAGGAAAAAGCAAATTAGTTATATCTGTATTATTTAACATTTTCTGTAATTTGAAGTTAATTTAATAAGAGCTGAACAGAAATAACAATTATACAAATTTAAATGCGGAAAATACAATATTCTTCAGATAATGTATTTGACCTATAAGATCTAAGTAAATGAGCTAAGAATTTTTTTTCTATACCAGTAACATGATTACAAAATACAATGGACAAAAGAGTTAATTTACATTATTAACAAAAATGAGCAATGTGTAAGATCTAAATGAAAAACAAAAATTTACTAAGGTAGAAAATAATATATTACTAACTTGCATGATAGGCCATTTTCAAAATTGTTTTATGGGTTTAATGAACATTTAGTTGAAAATTTCAATGGCATTTGGTTTGGAAATTGACAAAGTTTAAGATTCATATATTTTTATTTATTAATACCATAATTTATTTAATTATTGCCCTGTTGCTAGATTTTAGGTTGTTTCTGTATTCACTACTGAAACATTATTTTAATGAACATCCTTGTACAAATATCTTGTACATTTCTAAATGATTAAATTTAGGGAGAAGAGTAGTATAATGTAGGCAGTTTGTTCTATTAGATAATAAAGTACATTGTTAATCTATAATTGTTTAGACTGTGTGGTACTGGCTCAAGACTTGTGTAAAGACAGAACAGAATACATAGCAGAGAAATGACCTTATAAATATAAGTTAGTTAAATAATAAATATTTGATACCATTGCCTTGATATTTGTCCGTTGAAAAAGTCTCAGTTCCAGGTAGATTAATGTAAGAAATAAGACATGTGTTATCATTAAATTAATTTTTGCTAAAATAAGCACTTTTATATCTAGATAAAGGGCTGGAAATCCTCTTAGAAGTCTTGTGTTTCTAATGTTTTATTATTCACTAAATAGTTTCTGTTAACATATCAGGGTAAGGATAAACACACAGACACACACCTATGTATATATGTATGTATATTTACATATTTTTTTCAGGCATGTTTTTGTGTTTTCTTAAATTAGGCTATTAAAAATTAGGGAAATATTTGTGAATGCTTATCTGATTTTGCATAGGGAAAGACACTGTAACCGTAAGAGGATATATGAGTCATAAAAGAAAAATGTTTTTTTTCATATGTATTAATTCCTTGTTTAAACTACTCTCAGAAATTAATAAAGCTTAACTTTTAACTAAAAACAGGCAAGGATGTTAACAGATGAAAATGATAACCAGGACTAAAACGAGCTGATAGACTCTACAGGTCTACTTTTAATATGTGATTCTGGAGTTTTTCACTTTCTTGCCTAAGAAAAGGGCTGTCTTCTAAATTGTAACATTATGTCAAGGACTTAATGACTTGTTTCTTTTTTTTTTTTTTGTTATTGGGGGCAAGTGAGCTTTGGCTTTAAAAAATTTTTTTAGAGCATGTCTTTATTTTTATAATGTTCAAAAACTTTGTATTATGAAGCAGTAAATAAATGGCTTTATTTTTTTCAGTACACCTGATAAAACTTCAGAAGAAAAAAGTGGGTGTGATACAAATTCATTTGAAGGATCATCAGCAACAAAAAGTGAAGAAAGCACAATAGTTTCAGATAAAGAAAATAATACCTGTCTTGAAGACAAGGAAACTGACTCAAAGAATATCTCCAGTTGTGATTCAAATATTGGTGAAGATAAAGTGGAAAAGGAAAAACAACTAGAGCACAGTTATCAGGAAACGGAGTTGAAGATGTGCCAAAGTTCAGAAAACATAATTTCATGTGTTCAGATTAAAGATCAAAACTCCAGTGAAGCTAGGTCTTCTTCAAAGAATATTAAGGATTTGAGGTTAACATCTGGTGATGTTAGCATTGATCAGTTTTTGAGAAAAAGAGATGAACCTGAATCTGTTAGTTCTGATGTTAGTGAGCAAGGCAGTGTTCATCTGGAACCTTTGACTCCATCGGAGGTACTTGAGTATGAAGCCACAGAGATTCTTCAGAAAGGTAGTGGTGATCCTTCAGCCAAGTCCGATGAAATAGCGTCTGATCAAACAGATGATGTTCCTAGAGATAGCCCTAGCACAACAGAGACAACAGTAGACCTGGCAGATGAAAAAGAAAGAAGTTGAGATTAGTTAAGTCATTCTCAGTTTTAGTGTACCAACAGTAAGAGCATTTGCAACAGTGCTATCAGGTGAGCTCAGCAGTGCTGTTGTGGAGTTCAGAAATAGAAAAATATGAGGGAGGTCATTCATGCACTTCATCTGTATGTTCAACCTAGGTTATTACAGAAATCAATTCAATAATATGATTAGTATGGCTTTCCAAGAGGTTTTAAAACATGAATAGGATTTTAATGAAAGGTAAGCTTACAATAGAAAAGCTTAATTTAACAGTTCTCAAGGAAATGGAACTTGGTTGCCAATATGAATTGATTATTAAAATATTAGTTATATTTATAAAGCATTGAAACTTGCATCAGTTCTAAGCCAAAAATCCTTATTACCAATATATTCTTCTCAATTAACTTAAAGGAAGAAATTTGGAAATCATATACCTTTTGGGAATTTTTAATATGTTTTTATTGATTTTTTTTTTTTTGAGAGCGAGAAACATTGATGTAAGAGAGAGACTTTGATCGGCTGCCTCCTGCATGCCCGCAACCCAGGCATGTGCCCTGACTGGGAATCAAATCGGGACCTCTCAGTCCATGGGATGAAGCTCAATCTCCTGAGCCACACCAGCTGGGCCCTGTTTGGAATTTTAAAATAAAGGCTAATTGGCATTGTTAAGGAAAGCTTTATTTGGGGTATGACGCTGGTAAATGCTTAGAGTGTGAAATTGATGAATCTATTGAGAATTTTGATAAACATAAACTTAATTTTGGATTTAATATAACATTCCAGACTGTCAGAAGCATGTAAACAGAATATTTGAATCTGTGTACCTCCATACAAGTGTTAGCCTGCCAGGCTGTAAGCTTATCTTAATAAAACTTTCAGTGAAAGTGAAATTATTAAAATATAAATTTATATTTGTGTTTTTTGTCAGTGTGAGCTGTGCAGAAATCCCTTGATGTACTAGTTGTATAAAGTAGAAACTCGTTGTTAAAACTCTTGTAGCTATTATGCTTTTAATATTATTTTAATGATCTTTAGAAGTAGACCCATAAAAATGGTCTGGAAACCAAACCAAAGTATGGTATAATGTAGATATTGTAAAGCAGTACACTGAAAACATGTCCTGGCATGAATTCAGCCATGTTTAAGTGACTTTTTCTTTAATTGTAAAATAGGAACTTCAAATGGGACCGAAAGCAGTGATGTAAAAAATTGGTTTGGGATATTTAGTCTAATTTATCTATCAGATGGCTGCTAAATTGATTTTTCAGTTGTTTTTTATCATCTAGAAAATAATAGATCTAGAAATGAATAAAATGAATAACAGTAGTTTGCTTTGAAGTACTAATAAACTTTTATTTAAAATGCTACATTTTTACTTCTTAAAATGTGCTTTGAATTCTTAAATTTCGTTTCACTGAATATTAAATGTTTTAAATGTCTATTAAAATTCTGCTGTATATAGGAGTTTTTGAGTAAATATTTGCAATAAAAATCTGTCCCTGAATAATTTTATTTTTCAGAAAACTGAGTCAGATTACTTTTGGCACCTTTAGAAACTATTTGTTCAAGGAAATTTCATGTTAAAGTTAGTGGTAGGATTTTATTCTGTATTCTTTAATTGATGTATGATATATTTTAAATTAGTACTTAACATATAAGGGAAAATACTGCTATGCTAATATTTACAGAGAATATATTTGTTTTCTAAATCCTTTCATTTCAAGAGAAATAATTGGATGTTATAGTTTTCTACCTGTTCAGTACATTAAAGGGGCTAAATACGCAAAATATATTTTCAACTTATGTTCTTTAATATTTGAGTAGGGGGCTACAAATATTTTCTTCTTTTCAGCTCCCAAGAAAAAATAAGTAGAAATGGACCTATTAGCTGTCACCCTTCACATTATTGAAATATAACTCTATATAGCAGAAAAGATTTGGGGAATAATTTAAATCTTAGAAGAGCAAGGAGTAGAAAACATTCAATTAGTTGCCAAGCCTATGCTACAAAATCCTAGAGCACTTTGCCAAAATAAGTCTCTCAGTAACACTATAATACACCCTTTTGAGCTTCTCCAGTCTCTATATACCTTAAGAGTAGTAGTATTCAAAGTAGCTGATCAGTGAACTGTTTATACCTATCCACTATGAGAAAAGAAACCTGCACCAGACTAAGTCCTTATTGAGAAAGTCTGGTAATGAAAACAAAAACAGTTGAAATAGACCTTGTACTTGGTAACATAATCGGTTTATAGTCTCACACAATATCCTTGTCATTTCTGATCAGGAACAAACAGTTCAGGTATGTAAATCAAACCTTTAAGTAGCAGTGCTTTAGAACAGTGGAACTTCCTAAACTACAGACTTTCTGTTACGGGGCTTGATTGTGGGCCATGTGGTCACAGGTATTCAAGTTTACCTTGTTGCATGAAAGCAACTGTAGATAATATGTAAATAATAGTCTATTTGTGTTTCGGTAAACTTCATTTTTTAAAAAAAAAACCACAGAATGTTGGCTAAATTTGGACCATGAACTGTAGTTTGCCTGCTTTGGAGTGTTTAGACTCCCTTGATATGATTATGAAGCTGGTAATGCACTTTAGTGACTACTTGCCTAAGAACCAACTAATGACTAGTGCCTTAATATGTTATGATTCCTTGTTATCTATTTTTTTTTTTTTTCATCCTCACCCGAGAATATTTCTCTCTATCTTCAGACAGAGTGGGAGGGAGAGAGTGAGAGAAAGGGAAGGAGAGAGAAACATTGACATGAGAGGGACACATCGACAGGTTGCCTCCCACATAACCCTGACCAAGGCCAGGAATGAACCACAACCGAGGCACGTGCCCTTGGCCGGAATCGAACCTGTGACTCACTGGTCCATGGGCTGACGCTCTACTGCTGAGCCAAACCGGCCAGGGCAATTCCTTGTTATCTAGTAATAGAATTATGATAGATTAAAAATGTAGTTCAGTGACATTAATTGATTTTGTGGGATGTACTTTAATTTACATTGATAATTTAAATGCCATATTTATTTATTTCTTCCTCTGCCTTTCTCCAATGTTTTAGAAAAGAAATTGAAAATTGTTTCACCTTATACAAAATTTTAAGAACTATTCTAAACATTTTTTTAAAGGAACTGACAAGATATGAGTTATCTTGTTTTTGCTAGAAGTAAAATGATGAGGGCATCAAATATCTCGGCAATATTTGTCTAAGGTTACAAAGATTTGAAATCAATTTGATCTGATTCTAAAGTTATATTCTGTTATACCTGTAGTTCTCAGTATTTATATTGAATGTTGCTTTTTAAAATAAATTTTTAAAAAAATAACCCTCCCATTGATGGAACAATTATAGTTTGTTTTATTATTTATGCAGTGATTGTGTGTATATGGAATGGAAGACTTCCTAACCTACAGAAAAGGACCTACTGATCTTTTTTAGTGGGAATTGAGAAATTTTACCTCAGGAGGAGGGATTTGATAATAATTTTTTAATAGTAAAGACAGCATATAATTTTTTTTTTCAATTTCATTTTTTAATTTTATTTTTGTTACATATGTTTCTCCTTTTTTACACCCTCCTCCCCAACCCTGGCTTTGTTGTCCATGTCCATTGGTCATGCATACATGCATATAAGTTCTGTGGTTTATCTATTCCCACCCCCCACTACCCCCTCTTCTGAGGGTTGTCAGTCTGTACCCTACTTCCATGTTTCTGGGTCTACCCTATTCCTCAGACTGTTATATTCATTATATTCCATATATAAGTGAGATCATGTGGTATTTGTCTTTTTTTGCTTGGCTTGTTTCACTTAGGATAATATTTTCCAGGTCCCTCCATGTTGTCTCAAAGGATAAGAGATCTTTCTTTCTTACAGCTGCATAGTTCTCCATTGTGTATATGTACAACATCTTTTTTATACACTCAAGACAGCATATAATTTAAAGATATACTTTACATAATAATTGTAGAAGTGTTAACATCATTACATTTTTGTAGTCTTCTGTAATGTCGTTTTTTTACTCCATGCTTGACACAGTCATTTTTGTTTCCTCAAAATATTACTCCAATAACAATCACTCCTACTGACTTCAATGAAACAGGACTTTTGTATTATATATAGGCACTAAAAAAGGATTGCAAGTATTTCATTTTACTAGATTACTGTAACACTAAGACTTGTTTTTCAGCAAAGAAATGAAACACTTATTTTTTTTGTGTTTTTTTTTTTTTCTTTTAACTGAAGCACATGTAGATCCATGCAGACAAAATGAATAGTCAGATTTTTAAAAGTCATGGCAATGTTTAATTTTCAACTTAAAAACTATAAATTGAAAGATACTTCATTCACATCATCTTGTAAAAAATTAAACATATCTGCATCAACAACGATGACAACATCAAGGGCGAGTTATCCTGGGTGAAATTGCTTTTATAGTTCGCTAAAGGTAACTTTTTTGTTGTTGTTAATCCTCACCCCAGGATATATTTCCATTGATTTTTGGATAGAGTGGAAGGGAGGGAGGGAGAGAGAGAAACATTGATGTGAAAGAGACACATCAGTTGGTTGCCTCCCACATGACCCCAACTGGGGCCTGGGATTGAACCTGCAACCCAGGTACGTGCTCTTGACTGGTAATCGAACTCAAGACCCCTCTGACCACTGAGCAAGACCAGCCAGTGCGCTAAAGGTAATTTACAATTGCTTGTTAAATATTAAATCACTTTCATTATTTAAAAGAATATACTAAGCATAATTTAGCCTTCTTTGATTATATAGGGTGTCATCATTATGAAGATTATTGAATCAAAATATAAATGAAACTATAGCTGCAGATGTTAATCGCCTGATAACTGATGATCACAGAAGTGACCATGGATTTTGGTTTCCAGAAAATGCTCCAGGTGTATCTGGGATCATATGACTTTTCCAAAAATGGAGCAGAAAATTCTGGTTTTTTTTTTTTTTTTTCTCAGATAAGTACCCAGAATTGGAATTGTTGGATCATGTGGTAGCTCTGTTTTCTTTAATCCTCACCCAAAGATATGTTTTTAATTTTGGAGAGAGAGAGAAGGGATCAAACACACAACCTAGGTATGTGCCCTGACTGGGAAGCGAACCCACAACCTCTTTCGGTACATGAGGCTACACTCCAACCAACTGAGCTGGTAGTTCTGTTTTTAATTTCTTGAGGAACTGCCATACTGTTTTCCATAGCAGCTGCATTAATGTACATTTCC